AATTGTTTTATAAGTAACATATGAATCCCATTATAATTTACAGACGTTTGCAGAAGTCTCTGCATGACTCACTGACATTTGAACAGTTAAATGTCACTTTAATGCTAGTTATGTACACAATTTTCCAAAGAAAGAAAGAAAGACATTTTTATGTATGGCCGTAATGAAAATAAATGTAATATTAAGTCATTGAAATATGAGTCATGTGATCGATGGCACCAATTCCCCCTTTTTTTCCCCTTGTTGTGCACAATTAAATACTAATAAAATAATACTTTATGTTAAAGAATGTGCCATGGAAGTAAAGCAATAAATAGGTTTCATTAAAGTCAATTTACCAGGATTCAAAAATGTAAATGTCTTGAATTACTGGGGCACCAACAAGAAGCTCATTAAACAGGAGAAAGTGGTAAATTGTGGAATTGAAAAATAAAGAGGGAAACACTGTGCAGTGATGCATGGGACTATCACCACAGGGGACCATAAAGGAGATTGCATGTGGAGACAGAGAGAGAAAGGAAGAGGTAACGGCCACGGCCCATCTCCTGCCCTCTGTGAGACCCTGGCATTGTCCAGTGCTGATTTAAACTATTGTGATGAGAGCCAGTGGCCCTCCACTACAGGTTAAGCACTTTGCATACACATTGTTACAAGTTAATGTGACCAGTTAAGTGATGCATGACCCCGAACGCTCACTCTCTTTCTTCCTATGTCTTTTGAACCTCGCTCTCTGATCTCTCGCCGCACAATATGCTGCTCAGTCCTTTAAATAGGCTTTTTAAGAGAGTTCTTCAAAAGGTCTGACTCCACAAATAGGATTGCTGCTGAGGAAGATGCATTTGGGAACACAGATAAGCCTATATGAGGAGGAGAATGGAAAACAATCTAGAAAACGTCTCATATGTAATACTAGACTGCAAAGGCAGATTACAGATTGTGATTAAAGATCACAGATTAAGTCCAATGCACATATTTGTTAGCATTTTTCTTCTCATACATAAAAAGTGCTGTGGTAATTCCGTTACCATTAGATGGTAATATCTTTCTACTTTGATGTGTACAATGGCACTGAACAATTGCTGTATAAATATATCATGGTATTTACATATTACTCAAGTACTTCAAAGAAAACTCTGGGGTTACAAACCAAACCAGAAATATATGCAACTCCCAACTGGCACAATGCTAAGGGTGCTAAAGATGGTTGCCATGGCATTGCTAGGGCTTTCTAGATGGTTTCTACGGCATTGTGGGTGGTCCTAGGGCTTTTTTAGGGTGTTCTAGATGGTTTCTATGGTGTTGCTAGGTTATTCTGGATGGTTCTAGGACATTTTTAAGGTGTTCTACGTGGTAGCTCAGGAGTTCTAGATGCTTTCTAGGGTGTTGCTAAGGTATTATGGGTGCTTCTAGGGCATTGCTAGGGTATTCTAAATAACTGCTAGGGTGTTCTAGATGGTTTCTAGGGTGTTGCTAGGGTATACTGGGTGGTTGTTATGGCATTGCTAGGGTGCTCTATGTAGTTTCTGCATGGTTGCTAGGGTATACACACACACACACACACACACACACATATATATATATATATATATATATATATATATATTTCAATGTATTATTTTTTTTTTTCATACAGATATTACGACCAGTAAACTCATCGTGAACCCCCTCATTCCACAGGTCAGTATTGAAGGGCAATGACCGGGAAACCGCATTGAAGAGAGTGTGTGTGTGTGTGTTCAGTGGGTGTTAGCGGAAATTGTCAGAGTGAAGCCTGTGAGAACCAAACCTCCCCACCATCCCACCTCCCATCATGCTCTGCTCCCTCTCACTGCATGGAGACAGACAATGCTGGCAGGCGGTTCGGCCTCCTTTTCGCTGTTTGGAGGCTAAAATGAAGCATATTTGTCCTTATTAGATGCCAAGTTTAGCTTACATTCTTTCCAGTTACATTATTTCCATTAACAATATGGTTAAGAAATATCAGAAATGGTATCTTTCTTTGGACTCTCTGGACCATATTGTGTCTACGTGTTAAAACATTAATTCCATATAGTTTAATTTAAACCAACAAATGTACAATTGTACTAACCTCACAAAAAGTGACCATGGTAACCTGCCAAACTAGCTACTAAAATAACTGTTGATCATTATTTTATTCTATACATTTGTATTCTATTGTTTTGTATATATTATTTCATTAATATTTTACTTAAATTGTACTATATACAATTTTTATATTTTACTATCATTAACTATAAAAATAATGGGTTGTTAATGTACTACATTTGTGTCAAGCATTTTGAATTAGATTTGATTGATAGGTGCTATGTACTGTAAATACATTTTGATTGACTGATTGTTACAACTGTAAAACCATAATAAACAAACAAACAAAAAAGATCTGCATAGAATGGGATCTCCTTCAAACCATGCAAGAAGCTTTCAAAATCTGTTATATTTTAGTTATACACAGTTTTATTATGTAAATTAACTACAGTATATTCTGCTAACTGGTTACTATGGTACATTTACAGGAAGGTGTTTGTTATATGCTAATCAGAGGGATAATTATACATTTTACTATTGTAGTAGCAACACAGGCCGTCAACAGTGCGGAGAGAGATCACAAGGCAGATCTCTCCTCCCATCACAACGAAAATAACTTCAGGATGCAGGACACCACCATCTCATGCATAATTAATGAGCCCGCAAGATCAGTGCCATAAACAACAGAGTTTGTAGCAACAAGAGACTCAAGAGCGGGGAGGAAGCCATTATGGATCCAAAACACAGTGTAGTGTTTATATATATATATATATCTCTGGATATAAGTGCTATAGCTGAGTGCTGTCCACAGCAGCATCATCTCTGCTGGTTCAGCTCTCTAATGAGACCAGATTCAATAAAAGACACTTAGAGATCCACAGCTGGAAGAGACAATGCAAATAGAGTTTATTCTCAGCCTGGATGTCTGGTTTTCTTGGAAAGCAGAGATGAAGCAATCGGGCTGAGATGTTTATTTGATTTAGGGCCCCTCTTGCTCTCTTCACCCACTCCCAAACAGAATAAGAGAGAGATACATGTCTGTCTGCGAAGAAAAGCAGATGAAAAGAGCGGATTGAGTTTGAAAAGCAAGCACTTTATCTGCTAATACACTTATTATATATGGATGAAATATATTTACAGCACTTTTAGGATTTCTCAGTCCTTCTAAAAACTCAGAAATGCCATATTTCTTAAAACCAAACAAATGATCTTTATATCTCACAATTTCACAGAACCAATTCCCCATTCAGTTATTTCAAAAGCATGTGGAATTCCACAAGACCTGACATGCATTATCAAATACAGTTTTTCATCTTCTTTACAAGTCTTCATTTCATTCACCTGCTCTGCTATACAAATCACAATGCATTAGCGAGCAGCAGCTGTAAGAATATGCTGATATCCTTTGATAGCTGCCCCCTGTCACCCCACTCCCTCCGGTTTTCTTCCCCGCTTTTGTGTCTCTGTGAACTTGGCATCTTTGGAGGCCCACACAAAAGCATCCTAAAGGGCGAGGGTCCCGCGCCACACACAGAACACAACCCTCTGACTCAGTGTGAGACGAAAATACACCGACCGGTCTACACTCATTCACTTGCACAAATACGTCACACAATAAATGAACGGCAGTTTTTTTTATTATTAGATTGTACAGATGCTTTGCATCAGTTAAACCCAATGCCCCCAGAAGGACAGTGGCGCCAACAAACTCCCTTAAACTGCTTTATTAAAGGTAAACTAATTTAGGAATAGATATGCCTAAAATGATTTATAGAATTAAATGTTGTATTTTCAAGTTACATGCACAATTGTAATGGGTGTGTAGAGCTAGGCCTCTGTGGTTAATATCACAATGAAAGAGACCATAACATAGTAGATATGCTCTTTCTCAAATAATATGTAGTAGTACTAGGAGATTGCAATGCAACCAATTCTCTCTAAACCTGTCCAAAAGTCCAAGTTAAACCAGACTTAGCTAGTTTGCTGGTCTTAGTTGGTCAGAATGATTTTACACAGTTTTCAGCAGGTCAGGATGGGAGATGTAACCCTAACTAACTAAACCTAAGCTGCAAAAAGACTCAGAAATCATAGTATGGACATTATAACCATCAGCACATTAGCATACGACCGTCCACATTTAGACAGACAGGCAGAGACAGTAAGTTAGATAAAATGTCAGACAGAACGATATAGATGGCAGAGAGACGGAATGATATAATGAGAGTTATAACGATAGAACGATAGAACGATAGATAGATGGATAGATAGATGGATAGATAGATGATAGATAGAAGGATAGAACGATTGATAGAATGATAGATAGATAGATAGATAGATAGATAGATAGATAGATAGATAGATAGATAGAACGATAGAACGATAGCATTTAAATCAGTAGTCAGGGCACTTTTCCAAGCTTTGGATAAAACAAAACAAAACCAAGCAGTAATAAACAAAGGCTAAACTCTTGTGAAAACTTCCTACTTCATTCCTTGGCTCTGACTCCATTCATCCCACCCACAATGCCCGGCTGGAATTCCTAATGAGTGGGTGGATGAACTCAAGGGGAGGGTTGGGGGGAGGTTAGAAGGGGGTCCCAGCAGCATTCCGCCACAGAGATCGCAGCCAATGGATCTAGATTGGAGAGGAGGAGACAAGAGGAGTGGGGAGTTCAGATTTGGGCCGGGCTTTGCTAGCTTCTTCCCATGAACCTCATGGACATGGTACACCAAAGACAGCGCGCTCACACACACACTGCGAAACACAGATCCAGACAATGATAGATAGATAGATAGATAGATAGATAGATAGATAGATAGATAGATAGATAGAACGATAGAACGATAGCATTTAAATCAGTAGTCAGGGCACTTTTCCAAGCTTTGGATAAAACAAAACAAAACCAAGCAGTAATAAACAAAGGCTAAACTCTTGTGAAAACTTCCTACTTCATTCCTTGGCTCTGACTCCATTCATCCCACCCACAATGCCCGGCTGGAATTCCTAATGAGTGGGTGGATGAACTCAAGGGGAGGGTTGGGGGGAGGTTAGAAGGGGGTCCCAGCAGCATTCCGCCACAGAGATCGCAGCCAATGGATCTAGATTGGAGAGGAGGAGACAAGAGGAGTGGGGAGTTCAGATTTGGGCCGGGCTTTGCTAGCTTCTTCCCATGAACCTCATGGACATGGTACACCAAAGACAGCGCGCTCACACACACACTGCGAAACACAGATCCATCAAAACATGGACATGGGATGAAATTGGGGTCACAGAACGAGTTCAGGGAGGCTGCTCCTGGAACCAATAGGTTATAGAGCACCTCCTGTAGCCTTTTGTCTTCATAAATTCATGGTTGTCTTTAAGACGCCTTTCCACTAAGAACAAATGTGTCATGAAGAATCATTGCTAGATTAAAGAAAATGGAGGTAGATGGATTTAACAGCATCTTGAAACACATACATTTTCAATTTATGTTCTATGCTTATGTTCTGATCATCATAAATTGGATTTATTTTGTAATAAAAAGCAGTCAACAGGAAAAAAAAAATGAGTCAAAATTATGTGTGAAGAAAGTGAAAGCAATAGCACAATAATTGTTCAAGCTCCGCCCATAGTAGTTAGTGTTGCTAACTTATACACGTTTGTGCAACCTTCAAAATTCATTGAGAATGACTTTTAAATTCCATTTGAATTGGGTACACAAACAGAATACAGAATTGCAATTTGAATGGGAATTTAAATTCAATTTAAATTTAACTGAAATTCAAAGAAGTTCATATGACTGTAACAGTTGGTGATGTATAGAGAATGTATTTAGTTTATATACTTTGTAACAGATAAAATCTATAATAAAAAAATTATTTAACTTTTTAGCAAATGGCTGCAATATAACAAAGAGTGAAAAATTTAAGGGGGTCTGAATACTTTCCGTACCCACTGTACATGTACACAGTACACACACACATGCATTATCATTATAGTTCAATTTCATATATTTTCATATGCATAATCATTATCGTTGTCATTCAGTTTCACTGAATTACAAGTCCTCTTTCTGTCACTCCAATCCAAATTCCAACTTCAGCTTCCCAATTCCAAAATCTAATTCCAACTTCCTGTGTCAAATGTCAATTCTTTAATTCTGAACAAACCATTACAAAACACAGCAGAATGCTGCCACTGTCCAATCGGAATCAAGTATTCCAGAGAGCCGCATAATGAAGTAAGATCTGATGAGGTATTAAAAGATAACACAGACCGATTGAGGTGAGATATGAAAGGAACTCTGAAAGGAAACTGACAGCTTTGCCACTTTTAACATCTGAAAAAGACTTGACCTTCCTCATGAGCCCTAGCATGGACAAAGCCAAAGGGCTTCTTAAAGGGCAAGAGGTATTGACACATCAACCACTTCAACACTTCCACAAAGATATTCATAGATGTCTTTAAAAAAAAAAACATTATCATCTGATTGATTAATTGCAAGATGTGTTTTTGTCATTATTTTGCAGCACAAGAAACAGGGCCTTATTAGGTCATGTGGAAATGTTATACACAATACTAACATGAAACAATGCAAGGATTAAAGACCTCACTTCCTTCTCACCAGCATCCTTTTCAGCACGGAACAAATAAAACAAAAAAATATATATTTGTAGCTGCACACTGAATGACAAATTCAAAGTGATTTGAGATAGAGCCTGATTCACACGCCCTGTACTGTGTTGGTTTGCCAAGGAGGCGCAGAGTTCATTCGCTGTATGGCGCCATCTATCAATCAGCTGAGGAACACAACGGCCTGTTTCTTAGAACTTCCTCAACAGGAATAACATGCTTGGAATCACTGGCAACAAACAGCCTTTTTTTCCAAATTACAGAGTGTTTTGTTCATGTGATGATCACAGAATGATTATAGTACTTGTGGGTCAATGATTTACCCCCTGGCTTATGATGACTAACTACAGCGGTCATGTGGGCTACACATCATACTGCATCACCAATGACTGCTTGAAGATCCATGGAGATAATGCTATAAAGCAGTGTTGCAGGCAGCAGGGGAAATAATACTAAATGTGAATCATAAAAAACATTAAACATTGTAACATTTAACAAAAATTAAGAGATTTCATTTAACATTGTTAAATGTCTTAAACTTAGTGTTAGAGGATGGTAAAGTTAATGTAAATAAAAAAAGCACAATTTAATTTCCAAAATTAGCTGATATATATACACTACTGTTCAAAATTTGTGGTCAGTAATTATTTTTTCTTCAGAGATGAATACTTTTATTCAGCAAGGATGCATTAAATTGATCAAAAGTGACAGTAAAGATTTTTAAATTGTTACAATAAAAATTATATTTTTAAATAAACGCTGTTCCTTTTAACTTTCTAGTTATCAAAGAATCCTGAAAAAAATGTGTCAGCGTTTCCACAAAACATTAAGAAACGAAACCGTTTTCAACATTGATAATAATGAGACATGTTTCTTGATCAGAAATTTCGGCATATTAGAATGATTTCTGAAGGATCATGTGACACTAAAGACTGGCGTAATGATGCTGAAAATTCAGCTTTGCATCACAGGAATAATTTACATTGTAAAATATATTCAAATAGAAAAGAGTTATTTAAAATTGTAATAATAATAATAATTGACACTATTAATGGTTCTAATTTATTTTTGTTGCTAAAAGCACAAAACCTTTGAAATTCAAGGGAATTTAGGAAACCAAACCCTCAAATGATATAGACAAGCTTGTAGGCCATATTAATATGAAGTGATTTTAAAGTCATGTCTTCAATTTTGTACAAAAAACAATTCTATTAATCATGATTTCAAATGTATAATCTACATCCTGAAGCAAAACCAGTTGAGAATCACTGCTCTAACATACTTGAAGTGATTATAAAATGCTTGAATGGTGATGGATACTATTTCCAAATATAACACATTGATGCAGTTACTCAAGCGGCTCTGCCCTCTTAAACGTGTGTGTGGGAGTGGAAGGCAGGGTTAGGTAAAGTGATGGTGGTAGTTTTGATGCATTATAACCCAGAATGCTCTGTCTGTTCCAGCACAGCGCAAGGTTTGGGTGGCAGCCAGACTCCTCTGTTACCATGGGAACCATTTACTCCAGTCTGGCATCACAAGAGCATTTCAGCCCTTTACTACAGGATGAACCAGTCAATACAAAATAAATAAATAAATTAATTAATTAAAAAAGCGGACAGCCACGTGTATAATAGTGAATTCCCCAAATATAGTCAATGGTCCATCATCCCAGATGGCCAAAATCCCCATAAATTCCACAAAAGAAAACGCTGTCAAGTAGTTCTCAGAACAAAACACAGTCATACTCTATTGGACAGGAAGGAGAATTCCCGGGTAATTCCACAGAATCTGTGTGTCAGCAGAGGGATATTACACTCTTTAAAAACAACAGGGGCCACGAACCATAATGTAGAGCAGAGTGAGGGAGGGTGGACATAAACATTACTAGAAAAATATGAAATATTCGGGAAAGTTCACTGACATTGAACGGAAAGTCCATGCACTCATGAGGCTTGAAATGAGATGAGTAATAATTAGACTAAGGGAATTGTTAGAGCCAGGAACTTTGTGTAAATTTAAAGGCCACGTTTCTTTATTATTAGAATCATAAGTTGTGTTTTAGCTCTCATATAGCGCTCCCTGCTGGCAATACCTGCTTGAGTTCAAGTGCATCATTCCCACAGGAAAGCTAAAAAGCTAAATCACTGAATTAAAAAAAATCTTCTTAATAAGTATTTTTATCTTACAATATCCTAACATCCTTAAAACAAGACACTGTATATTTACTCTAGTCTTGTTTTCAGATAAATCCAACACAGAGTACACAAGTTTATTTTCGTAATTTTCTTGTTTTAAGCATACATTTCAATATTTTAAGATTTTTCTAAATCACGTTATCATGATAAAAAAAAATCATGTTATCATTAAATTGATTCATTTATCTTTAAATGTATGTTTATGTAATAAAATGCTGATATAATAAAAAAATTGGCAGCTAACATTTTCATTAACAAACAATAAATAATGTAAAAGGGATAGTTCACCCATTAAAAAAAAAAAATAATAATAATAGCATCATTTACTCACCATCACGTTCTTCCAAATGCATGTGCCGTTCTTTGAGGACAGAAGATATTTCTGAAGGATCTGCTGAGCATAAAAACACTATAAATATAGTTAATATGTCTCATGCACTGTATTTCTTATTTAAGTCTTGCAGCAGCTTTGTGTGAAGAACAAACTGAAATTTTACTTCTTGCTATTAACTGACATAAGGGTTAGTAAATAATGACAGAATATTCATATGGGGCTAAAGAAAACTAAATCAAAATAACCAAATAACCTAAAAACTTCACATATGAAAACACATGAATCAAAATACCATGCCATTTCTCTCTTTATGAGCATAAAACATTATATATCATATATTAAGATATTATATTAACAAATCTATGCTAGCAACACCAAGGGTTTGATTCAGAGAACACGTACTGCATGCAGACAAAAAAGTACTCTACATTGTCCACCTTATATGCACCGCAAATCAATTCAAAATTCTAAAAGTGTCTGCCAAATGAATAAATGCAAACTGTTGTGGAATAAAATCTTAACAGGAAATAGACTGACTGGAAGATGTTACGCAATCACAGCCAAACAAAAAAGAACACTGAGTGCAGCCCAAATGATGTTGTTAACTGTTGGCAATAACAAGTGAATTCACTCATCCAGTGTCATCCCACTTTGACATTTCTGACCTCACCTCTTATTTCCCGTCCAGTGGTGTAAATACAGCCCACTGAGACTTTTTTTTTTTGTTTGTTTGTTTGCCAAGTATGTGGAACTGAAGTATGGGTGGAGTCAGGGGGGTCTTTTCCAGTAAGAGGTTGGTAAATTTGTTCTTTCTGCACAACCGAAACGTTCAAATTTCACTTTCCTGATATCATGTAAGCTTTCACTGAATGGGCTTCCTCTTTTTGAAATGTCAGCATTTAGTGGTGCCTGGCCCATAAGGAAGAGGAAGAGAAGAGGCCTGAAATGGTGCATTGTTTTTTGTCCCCCCATCTAAGGCAGGGTGAAGTGGCATAAACACAAAAAATGAACATGATCCTTACTGCAAGAAATATTCTGGATGATGTGGCCTAATAAAGAATGACCTGCACTGGTAAGCTTAAAAGTTGTTAATTCCCTAAATTTCGTCCAATACATCACTGATCAAAGTTTGGTTGTAGCTGTTCCTGTAAAAACAGCAGGGATACTCAACTCTGTTCCTGGAGATTCACCTTGCTGGCCTTTTGCTGTAGAACACCTGCTTTTCCATTTTAAGGTGGTTGGCAAACCAACATAACATGCATTTCTGCCACCTACTGGACTGGAGTGTGAAGAACTGCTGTTTGAATAGTGTAGGTCTGTAGGAAAAAAAGAAAGAGAAAAAAAAAACCTTAAATATATAAATCAAAGAAAGAAAACAACATCGAAAACAACTTAAAAGCAATTATTCAGACTTGATGATTTTAAATACCTTAACATCTTAAACGTCACATACTTTATTGACAAAATATTTGTGTGTGTGTGTGTGTGTGTGTGTATAGTTGCAATCAAAACAACTTTACAAATACAAGCATTTCTGAAGATCCACAATTTTATAAAAATTGCATTTATAACAGTTTACTAGCATATTAAAAGTTATAATGTCAATATATAATGTAATTGTTTTTAAATAACACAGCTATGTCATAATTATTCAACCCCTATTCAACATTGCTGCTTTTAAGTCACTTTTTTTTTGTATGGTGGGGAACAAAATTGTCTTAAAACACAATTAAGACTTTAGAAAAAAAACAGAATTAGCTTGAGCTGTTACACATACATAAACGTAGCCCATGCATGTGCTGATGCGAGCAGCAAATATGGCAAATTCAACAGAGCACTCTCAAAAGCTATAGAAGAATTAATTTAATTACATTAGAAAGTCCAAGGCTGCATGAAGATTTCCAAAACATTAAAAGTTCCTAGAGACACAGCTGGCAGCCTTATTCCTAAGCCTAACATGTGTTGTACCAGAAAACCTTTGAGGGTGTTAAAGAAAAAGCACAATATCATAATAAATTTGATCAGAGCAACTGAGAAAACCTGCAATGTACAGCCTTGCAAGATGACCCGATGAATGGAGGAAAAACATTTCAGTGCAGAGTATAAGATGAACACTAGACAAGTATGGCCTTAGTGTTGGGGCCTCTTGCAGAATGCCACTCTTGACCAAGAAGAACATAAAAGGCAGACTTGAACATGTTAAAATTCATTTGGGTAGACCTGTGGAGTTCTGGAAGAATGTTTTATGGAGTGATGTGACCAAACTGGAACTTTTGGACCCATGGATCAGCGGTATGTCTGGTGCAAAAAAGACAAAGCTTATAAACAGGAGAACACCATCTCCATGGTCAAACTTGGAAGTGGACCAGTCCTGCTATGGGGGTACTATACTGTTGCAGGAAGTGGAAATCATGACTGTATGAAGGACATCATGGATTCTTTGAAGTATCAGGCCATTTTGGCAGGAATTGTGATGCCTTTGGTGAAAAGACGGAAGCTGATCATCAATGGACAGATTTAATTCAATATCCAGATTTAATTCTCATTGAAAATATTTGGTTGAATTTGAAGAAAGCAGTGGCAATGTGAAAACCAAAGATTATCAGTGATCTGAAAGCTTTTTTTCCGGCAAGGAATGAGCCAAGACTGCAGTAGAGAGGTGACAGAAGCTTCTGAGCACTTATAGGCTGTGTTTATTGGTGGTTTTAAAGAATAAAAGATTCTGCACAAAATTTGAATTTTAGGGGTTGAATAATTTGGAACATGAATGTTTAGAGCCAGTTTGATTTTTATCATGATTCATCAATGTTACATTCTCAGAATCACTCAAATGTATATTAAGAAACGTTCTCTAATAGTTCACTGATGCCTTTGTTGAATTGTTTTCATAAAATGTTTTTCTCTACAGCAAAATGTCTTGCAGGTCAAAATGTCTTGCAATAAACTGTGTATATATATACAGTATCTCACAGAAGTGAGTACACCCCTCACATTTTTGTAAATATTTTATTATATCTTTTCATGTGACAACACTGAAGAAATGACACTTTGCTACAATGTAAAGTAGTGAGTGTACAGCTTGTATAACGGTGTAAATTTGCTGTCCCCTCAAAATAACTCAACACACAGCCATTAATGTCTAAACCGCTGGCCACAAAAGTGAGTACACCCCTAAGTGAAAATCAAATCTTCTTATAGCCTACGCCATCTTTATGTAGAGCAACAATTCTTTTTTTTAGATCCTCAGAGAGTTCTTTGCCATGAGGTGCCATGTTGAACTTTCAGTGACCAGTATGAGAGAGTGAGAGCGATAACACCAAATTTAACACACCTGCTCCCCATTCACACCTGAGACCTTGTAACACTAATGAGTCACATGACACCGGGGAGAGAAAATGGCTAATTGGGCCCAATTTGGACATTTTCACTTAGGGGTGTACTCACTTTTTTGGCCAGCGGTTTAGACATTAATGGCTGTGTTGAGCTATTTTGAGCGGACAGCAAATTTACACTGTTATACATGCTGTACACTCACTACTTTACATTGTAGCAAAGTGTAATTTCTTCAGTGTTGTCACATGAAAAGATATAATAAAATATTTACAAAAATTTGAGGGGTGTACTGTATGTATGTATGTTTGCGGGTTCGTAAAAGTGTGAAACGTCTGCAGCTTTTGAAATCACAAAGTGAAAAAATAAATGGTGTAGAACCAATTTTCACTCAGAAATTGCTAGTAAATTTCACAAGCAATTACAAAGAAACAGCACATAATACACTGAATTAAACATTAAATTTTGAATTAGAAAAACACAATAATATTTTCTCATGAAACTTTCTCCAATAATCTTTCATTTACAAATTCATTTTTTATATTTATTTAACTTTATTTAATTTTTGAATGAAGGTGGGATTGTTTTACCCGCACCCTGATGACAAACTTTATAGCAGCCATCGGTTGTTTGCTGTAAACCACCTTAGACTGCTTTTAGTAGTTCACTAAACCATATTTAAACCATAGCCTACATGTTTTGACACATTGCCGTATATCTTGCCAATATGATCACCTCATATAAAGGAGGATTCAAAACAGAATGACACAGCAAAAAGTTAACATATTTAGGTGAAATTATTATGTTCTACCACCAGATGACACTATTGTTGTTTGTAGGCCTACTGCATTTAAAGCTGTTGTACATGAAACACCAACACAGGCAGTTAGAAATGATGGATGCTTAATATTATTATAATTATGCTTTTTCCCAGTCCATGCTGCCTATAAAAAGTGCTTGTTAAACATATAATATGTAAATATGTTAAACATGTGATGGGCTTGACCTTAAATGATAATTTTCACAGATCGTTATCTCGTTTTATATGATATAGTGAAAGCTGATACAAACTTAGGCTAATCTATTTTCCGGTCACTCATGGCTCTCCAGAGGGTCCGGTCACAAGACATGGCATGAACATCACTGATCTCTCTCTGCCAGCACATTTCCAACTAAATATAAAACTAACTAAAGATCACCAATACCTCTATGACTAATGATTACTACTATTATCCATTCACATGACTGATGGAGGACAGCTTACAATTAACTTTTACAGCCATACTGACAAGTTATAAAAATCTTTTAGTATAAAGTGGATTTACATCTGACATAGCCTATATATCTGCACTGCATATTTCATATAAAATGCTATAACTTATAAACATAAACACAGGCCTGTATGAAACATATCTAACTATTAAAAGAACAAAATGTGTGTAAAGGAAAAATCCATACAACATACATATTTGGACAATGTTTGTCCAAATATGAATCTTCAAAGTAAAAAATACAGAGAATGTTGATTGATCATTAGGCTACCTGTGTTAATTATTTAATTATGTTATTTCAAATTATTATTAAATTACCTAATTTATGTTCATTTTCGGTTTTATTTTTCCACAGAAAAAATGCAAAGTGAACAGCACAGTCAAATTCTATTGAACAGTAACTTTGTGCTGTACACTCCACTATACAATCTCTCACACTGTCACTGGAAAGCTTGTGACTATCAGGACATCTTAAAGTCATCCAAACCATCATGTGCAAATATTTGAGCAAACGCAGGTTTTACTGCTGAAGATACACTGCTCAGTTTAATAATGTGCGCTGTCCTTTTGTACTCCTGCTGTCATCGCACACGGATCTTCACACTTCATTACCAACACTCATAACATTCACAGGATGCATGCTATAAATATTCAGCAGAGCTGCAGGAGTCACTTATGGATCAAATGGTCAGGACTGTCATCACAGATATCAAGTTCTTTAGAATCCTGTACTTATGTAAACATAAATAAATACATAAAAAATATTTGAGTGGAGCTCAAAAACTCAATACAACAGCAAATTCAGTCCAAACTAAAATAGGATTATAGGACAACTACTTTAAGAGATTGTATGCGTTGTGATGAGTCTTCTTTGGTTTGCTTTGAGGTTGAATGTTGCTTCAAACATGTGTGGGTCATATTTCAACACCAAATCAAAAGAAAAATGTGAAATTATATTTTGCAATAAGAAAATGAAATCTGTCACATGTTCATCATGTGAATTAGTTACAAACTCAGAGGAGGGGGTTATCTGGTAGTGAGGAAGAGAATGAAGATGTGTACATGTGTACATTTTTGTCTAAAAATATATATATATTTTTTCAATTAGTACTGCCCTTCAGAAGCTACAGAAAATACTTTTTGAATTTGAAGATCAGGATAAATTGAACATTTTGTCTTCTGGAAAACATGTAAGTATCTTCTGTAGCTTCTGAAGGGCAGTACTAAATGTAAAAAAAAAAAATATATATATATATTATATTTAGGCAAAAATGTACACATGTACTTCATTCTGTTCAAAAGTTTACACCCCTGACTCTTAATGCATCGCTTTTTCTGGAGCATCAGTGAAGGTTTGAACCTTCTGTAATAGTTGTGTATGAGTCCCTCAGTTGTCGTCAGTGTGAAAAGATGGATCTCAAAATCATACAGTCATTGTTGGAAAGAGTTCAATTATGCAGAACATGCTGGAAAACCAAAGAATTTGTGGGACCTGAAGGATTTTTCTGAAAAACAGTGGGCAGTTTAACTGTTCAGGACAAACAAGGGACTCGTAAACAACTATCAAAAAAAAAAAGCTGTGGATCATCCATGTAACAACAGTATTAAGAATCAAGCAAACTTTTGAACTGGGTCATTTTTATAA